TTTTTTTTTTTCATTCTCATTTTATTTATCTTCCTGTTTCTGAGAAGAAGTGCAACCAGGATGCTCTGAGGAAAGGATGGTGAAACTTGATCTCACAAACTTTGAGCATGATGTAAGGTGGGGTCAGTCAGTTCTTGGAAAAAGACCTCATGCTAGTAAAGTTGGAGAATCAGAGAAAGATTTTCAACAAAATGTATTGATACTGTGATTTTAACAATGGACTCGAGCATATCAGAGATGGGGGGGGATGGTGCAGGATAGGGCCTGGCTTAAATCTGTTCATACTATTGCTCTGATTTGTAGTCCACTCGGTCACACCTAACTTGAAGCTCTAATCAAACAAGAACAAGAGCTTGCTTGATGTGCCTCTTTGAGCCCATATGGACAGTTCTTTGAAAAATATAATGTGAATGCAAATTATTTTTACTAGAGGTAAACTAGTTTTATGATGACTTCAGGGCATAGTTTTGTTTTAAGGATTAAAGATTATCTCAGGACAATAATTTTAGAAGTTTATCTACACTCTATGTAACATGCCTCTGGAAACTGAACACTGAGAAACAACGATAATTATTGAAAGACTTCAGGTCTTTTGTTCATAGCATTGCTATGAGTCATGCTTAATTTAATGGCAATCAACAACAACAATATGTCTCTAGAAACTCTATAGTCTATGATAAATTAAATTTTTGTTCTATAATTTCCCCCTTTTGATCAAGATTCTTCTATGGAATCTTTGATCAAAATGTTCAGTGATGGTAGTAAAATGTCATCAAGTTTTAGGGAGTCACATCCTCTTTCTATACCAGACTAATTTTCCTTTGTTGTTCTGAGTTAATAGAGACCTACTGCTGTTCCTTAGATTGCTACCTACAACCTTTAAAAACCTAGAACTACTCAATAATCTAGGAAGTAGAAAAGAAACACTAAACTTGTGATTAGGCCAATTAAATAGTATGTTCCATTAAACCATGACCAAACCAAGGGACCAAATCCCAAGAAGTGTTCTTGGTTGTATATAAACTACCAGAGAAGCTATTCCCCTCTCCTCCAACCCTGTAAATCATATATACATACATAATATGCATAGTCTAGTGGTAAGAAGCTGTGTTGCAAGCCTGAAGGCACACAGTTCAAATCCACCAGTGGCTCCGAGGGAGAAAGATGAACGATATCCTATTGTGCAACGTACTGCCTCTGAAA